ATAAGACAAATGAAATACCAACTCTGCATGGACTGATAATATAGACAGTATATAGTCAAAAAGCCGATACACAAATAAATAATATAATTTCAAATAATGAATACTATTTTGGATAATAGAAGACACTTCTTGAGAATGACATTTGAACTGTTGTATGACTCATGAGGAGCCAGCAATGCAAAATTTAAAGGAAGAATATTCCAGGCCAAGAGGCAGAGATAACAGCCCTAAAAAAGGAAATATCCTGGTGTGTTAGAGTAAGAAAGTCATTGTGACTGGGCATAATGGTGCTCCCCTGTAATCCCAGCCAGCTTTAGCAACTTAATGAGCCCTGTCTTAAAATAAAAAGTAAAAAGGACTTGGGACTAGCTCAGTGGTAAAGTGCTCCTGGTTTCAATCCCCAGTAACCAAAACAAACACAAACAAACAAACAAATAAATAAAATACTCAGCTAGCCAGTCAGTGTGTTCCAGGTATGCTAGCACAGACCTATAATCCCAGCTATTGGGGAGACTGAGGCAGGAGGATTACAAATTTCAGACCAGTCTGAGCAATTTAGAGAGACTATATCTCAAAATAAAAATTTAAAAAAGGATTGGGGATGTAGTCAGTGGCAGTGTGCCCCTGGGGTTCAATCCCCAGTACCAGGAGGAAAAAAATAAAAGAGGGGCCACTGATAAATTTTAAAAAGAATAGTAACATAATCTGAATTATATATTATAAACATAATTTTTGTGTCTTCACATTTTCCTTTCTAGACAAAGTCTTAAAATGCATATCTTTAAACCAGAAGAGGGGCACTGGTTATAGAATAATCTTTCATTTGGCATAATTTTTAGAGCAATTCCTAATTTATCTTAAGGTCTAAGCACTAAATTCCTCCTATAACCATATTTATAATAAAGGAGAAAACTGTTTTTATAATCTCATAAATTACTTTGTATATTACATAAACAAAGCTCCATAAAAATAGGCCTATTTCTTGACCTGGATACAAAACTGCCAAAGGTGGATAACAATCAGTGGGTGGGACCCATAATAGCTAGAGCTCCAAAGGTATAATTTCTAGAGCGTGGGCCACAGACAGTATTTTGAAAATAATAATTCTGTTGTTACCTACCTCCTCTTTGCCTTTTCACCTACATTTAGTAATTTCCTCACCCACCCCAGGTTTATGATGATCTCAAGTTTCCCAGAGAGTGTTCTAAAATTGAAACACTAGTCACAAAATGGCCTTAGTTTTCATTTCTTTCAAAAGTGTAACAGGCATTTAAGAGGAGTCATAAAAGATTACAATGAATCACAGATACGGGAATTTTAGGTACTAGAAAAAGGAAGATAATTCTGGGCTTGAAGCTAAATGGGCTTATGCCACACCAGATGTATTGAGTTCTACATCTACTCAACGTAGAACCAATACTCCATCATACTTTTGACTTTTCCTAACTCTCAAAACATAAAGGCGAATAATGGGGTTAAGAATAACTTACCTTTGAGTTTTTAGGAGTAAAGCTCAGATTTGTTTCTCTGGTAGGTAGACAGCTATCACATTGACTAAAATTAAAATAATTTTCAGAGGTAGGCATCAAACATAGAAATGAGATGTTTTTATTTTTTCATGATTTCTGAACTTCATCAGAATAATAGAGAGCAAAGGGTCACTACCTAATGAGAAGGAAATCTATGAGGTAAGCTGGAAAGGAGTATAGGATGCTAATGATGGAGTGGAAATGGAAAAAAAAAGCATTTATATACTGTAAGAAAGACTAGATAAATAGGGTTAAAATTATAATCCTGTGATCTTTAACTTTATTATTTATTTATTTTAGCTCAATTTCTTATAAATGGAAGTAGCTTGATTTAATGTTTCCTCCAGGAAATACTTTTTATAATAACTATGAGTATTCAAATGAGGTATGGGATTGGGGTTGTGTCTCAGAGGTAGAGCACTTGCCTTGCACACGTGAGGCACTGGGTTCGATCCTCAGCACCACATAAGAATAAATAAACAAAATAAAGTTATTGTCTCCTTTTACAACTAAAAAAACATTTTAAAAAAGAGCAAATGAGGTGTGGCAACTTTTAAAATTATTTTCAATGGGAAAATAATGCTTTTGGTTTGAAAGTCCTGGTTATGCCATAGGTCATTTGTGAGCTTCATCTCCATTGCTAGGTATTTATTTTTGTATCTAAAGGACCCAAACTAAAGTACTTCTGTGATGCCTTATCAATTTTCATATTTGATACATTTAATCTGAAATTCTGACATTTGCTATGGGCTCGAAATTATACTCAGCCCAGCATCAGAGAATTATTTTTTCCTTGGACATCACATTCTGCTTTTTCTCTTACCAATTTGGCAGTCTCTTCTGTGAGTTCTTCCTCTTCACAGCTTGGTCCTAGGGCCCTTTTCTCTTTTTACTTCACAATTTCAATGGGGGTTGAGGTGGTCTTATTCAGTAGGCTTTGGTTACAACTTAGAAACTGATAAACCACAACATTTTGATCTCCAATTTAGGTCTCTTTTTTGAACTCAACCTGACTCAAAGTCCAAAACTGAGCCAATGCTCTTCTCCTTCTAAAATGTTTGCCTTTCAGAAACTCTGAAAATTACTGGGATTATCATCTATCCAACCAGAAAATCAGCTAGAAAGTTATGCCTACACTACTCTCTTCTTTATTCCCCCACATCAAATCAACTACTAATAAACCTGTCAATTCTACCTCCTAAATACACCACTTATCTCCACCATCATTCCCCAAACTCAAGTTATTTTTTATTGCCTATATTATTTAGTAGCCTCTCAACTTCTTCCTCTTCCTTTTCTTTTTAAAGTTTGAGTCAGGTCTCTGTTTCCCTGGCTGGCCCATAATTCCTGGGTTCAAGCAATCTTCCTACCTCTGCCTCTTGAGTAGTTGGAACTTTAGGCACAGATCACATACCTGGCTCTGCTCCCTCTTTTCTCATTTACAGACTTTCCCTGGCCCTTCACCATCCAATTTATTTTTCACACATCAGCCACAGTGATCTACTTGGAAAACACTTGTGATCATGACTTCTCTTCATTTGTTCAGTCATTATTTACTGAATAAATACTACAGAGTTTCAGAAACCATTCAAAGAGCTGGGAATCCAATGATACAAAAAAATACACAAAATAGTGACTTACTCTTAGGTTTTGTATGATTTTTTTTGCCACTCATCTCCTTCCCTTTTGCTCCCAGATTATTGTAATTTAGCCATACTGACCCGATTATCAAAAGCTTTTTGACAAACCCATTCCTACACATTCCTGCACCATTCCTATATATTTTTCAAATGTTAGCTTAAATTTCCTTCTTTAGAGAACTCTTTGGCCAGGCTATGGGCTATGTGTCTTTATCTCCTTCTGGAACTATTCACAATCAAAAGAACTAGAAAATTTCTTGTTCATCACTCTATTCCCAGCTGGATTTGTTGGTGGAATGAATACATAGAATGAATACATGGAATGCCACACTATACGGTGTTGCCATATTTTGAATCTGGTGACTTGTAAAATTCAGAGTTTTTTTTTTTTTTTGAACTTATTGTAGTGATTGAATCCATGGGGGCTTAACCACGGAGCCTCATCCCCAGCCTTTTTTGTTATGTTTTGATACAGGGTCTCACTAATTTGATGAGGCTGGCTTTGAACTTGTGATCCTCTGGCCTCAGCCTCCTAAACCGCTAGGATTACAGGCTTGTGCCACCACGCCCCACTAAGAGATCTTTTTAAAGCAAAATTCTAAGAGCTGGAAATGTAGCTCAGCGGTAGGGCGCTTGGCTGAGCATGTGTTAAGCTGTAGATTCAATCTCTAGTACTGCAAAGTAAAAAATAAAGGAAAACTAATAGGTCACACTTAAAGATGTAAATTCTGTTTTTTAGTAAGGAAAATCTAATTGCTAGCTGTACTTGGATGATTTCTCACTTCTGGCATTATTGCTTTGGAGAGAAAAATAATTCTTAATACAATATAGACAATGTCGCTGCGGGTATTTACTCAATAGCAAACATTTACTGATTTACTGTGTTTTGGGAAGCCGTGCTAGAGATTGGAGATACAAAGAAAAAAAACTGCTCCGAAGGAGGGCAGTCTAGTGGAGCTGCTTATTTAAAAAGCTGATAGGTTCTTGAAAACTGGGATCGTTGAACAATACTTTTCAATATCATCTTTTGCCCCAGTTCAGGTTTCATCCTTTCCTGCCTGAACCTTCCACACCTGTCCTCCCCAACTCCTTATCCTCCTATCCTGTATTCTTCATAGCATTTATTACTTTTTGAATACCCCATTTTTTTTTTTTTCAGGGCTTTATCCCATGCCTGGAGCTCAGAAGAGGCCTAGAAAAACTTAAGATATAATAACCCACAGTACATATCCCTGCTTCAAGTCTTTCTCCATTCATTCATGTTCATTTTTATATGTGCTAGTATCATCGGAACCTGTCAGTATCTTATTGTCAGCTACGGTTTTTTTTAATTGTGTCTATACTTAAGTCACATTTTAGCTTGCCCATCAAAGGCTACTGCAAGCAGAAAAAACTTAAAAGCAGCTCGCCGACACGTCGTAGTTGTTCAATAAAAGTTCGGTGAACTTAAAGGTAAGATAACTGTGGACCCTAGTCTGTGGCGGAGCCAAAAAAATGTCCAGACCGATCTTTCAATCACTTTCATAAGGTTTGAGGGCGAAAAGCAAGAGCACTTGACAGGAAAGCGGCGGAAACGCTCAATAGCTATTTCCGGCGCTTGACTCCCCGTCGGGGGGGCAGCGTCCACCTCCTGGGCGAAGGAAAAGACTTCCGGCCTTCTGCTTTTTGTTATATGATGAGTCACGGCCAGACGTTCGGCCTCGAGTTTGAGAGGCAGAGTTCACAAAATATAACGCGAACGGGAGAAGACTTTGTAAGTCAATCTATCCGCTTTCGCTTCACAGTTTTCTCACTAGGGGAATATTTTTCTGAGACGCGGAGCAGTACTTACTGCCTTAAAGCCGCTGTCGAATACGTCATAAACGCAGCGCAGGCGCCCTTTTCCCGTCGTCCTCCGCGTCACTCGGCCTCCTCTCTGTCGCCCCGCCCACGTTAGGCTTCGAAATGCTCTCTGGGTGCTCCGAGAATCCAGCCGGGTCCCTTTGGTTCCTTTCCTTCCCTGTTACCATTGGTTGTTCCCATGAGCGTAACTGCCTTCTTGTCTCGTGATTGGCTAACGTCAGTAGCGTCACCGCGTCCAGAGGGGCGGGGGATGAGAGAAGTCAGCGTGAGAGAGACCGAGTTGGGGGAGGGGTTCAGGCCTGTCCTCCCCTGTGGCTGCGGCAGCATCAGCGCCGGCCGCGGCCGCCGCCTCTGGAACGCGGAGGAGGAGGAGGAGGAGCGGCTGGAGTAGGAGGAGGGGGTGGGCCCTGGGGAGCGGGATGCCCATCGCTACGGCTTGGTGGTGAATGCTGAGGAGAGTCGCGGTTGCTGCAGTCTGTGCCACCGGGAGGAAGTTGTGTGAGGCCGGGCGGGAGCTCGCGGCGCTGTGGAGAATCGGAGCGCGGGGTCGGTGTGAAGACTCTACCAGACCTTTTCCTACTGTGACCATGCCCGGAAGGAACAAGGCGAAGTCCACCTGCAGCTGCCCTGAACTGCAACCCAATGGACAGGATTTGGGCGAGAGCGGCCGGGTTGCCCGTCTAGGAGCGGATGAATCCGAGGAGGAGGGACGGAGGGGGTCTCTCAGTAATGCCGGAGACCCTGAGATCATCAAGTCTCCCAGCGACCCCAAGCAATACCGGTGAGGGAGGAGGTTTGATGGGGAGAACAGGGTGCGGGCCTGTGTTGGCGCCGCCGTCACTTCTTTCTCTCTCTGTCTCTGTGTGAGAGTGTGTGTGTGTATGTGTGTGTCTGTCTCTCTCTCTCTCTCCCTCCCTCCCTCTCTCCCTCTCTCCCTCTCTCTTTCTCTTTCTCGGGGTAACAGGGCATACTTCTCCCCGCAAGGGCTTCCTTGAGTGGAGGGGGCAAGGGCAGTTAGGGCCTGCGGGGTGGTATCAGCTGGGTAAGTGAGAAATCTTAGGTTCCATAGCGAATCAGCGTGTCAGAATGGAAAGAGCTGTTTGAGTAATTTTGACGTTCACTAAAGCCAGAATGGAGGAAGGCGGGTTGGGCGGTAAGGGGGTTTTGGTACTCTGTTGGAAGGAAAGATGGATAGAGTTGGAGAATCTTAATTTTGGAGGAGAGGATAGTTAAGGGGAGATACCGCTAACCAGAAACATTTGAGAGGTGAGTGAGAGGTAAAAGTAGGGGGCAAAAGTTATAAGAGGATGGGTTGGCTTCAGTAAAGAACTTTGCATCATAGTTGGCCTAAGATGAAATGACTGACTTTTTCCCCATGGGTCGTTCTTCAGAACTAGAATCGTTGGGAGACCTCTTCCAAAAATACATTGGAGAGTTACTTGTTCCTCAGTTGATTGAGAGGTAGTCTTCTAATCCTGAAATTCTCTACTTTTGGTTTATGCAGAGCCCTCTAAACATCTTTAATAAATGGTGACTTAATCTCTGTCTATTTCCTTTAGAGCTAGTTTATTTCATAGAATATCATGACTGTGATGTATTTTAAAGAGTTCATATTGTCCAACACCTTCGTTTTACAGGTTGAGGACATTGAGACCCAGAGAGTTTGCTTCTTGCTCAGAATGACACAGCTAAATGATATCAGACTGGTATGAAAATCCAGGCCTTCTGACACCAAATCCATTGTGCACCATTTGCTGGTTTTTTAAAAAATAAAGTTTTTACTCATGTTGAGTTGAAAGCTGAAAGATTCTAGGTCCAAATATATTATAGTGTTAGAGCAGGAGCAGGAAAGAAGCCTAGAGTTAACATTTCACCACCCCCATTTCACAGGTGACTGAAACTGAGGTGTAGAAAGATATGACTTAGCCCCAAGATTAAGACCAGTCCATTTTCTCTCTTCACTCCAGGTCTGGAGATTAATCACATACAACTCTCTGTATTATTTTTTCCCAGGCTGCCATCCTTTAAGATGTACAAGATTTTGTCTTTTTCTCATGAAATATGTGCTTGTATTAGTAATATGTAAATTAAAAGTTGCTTAGTTTTTGTCTTTCAGGTTAAAATTTCAATAATGGCTTCAGGGTTTCTATATAAGGTTACATAATAATAGCTAATGTTCATGGAATAGACACAGTGTATCAAACTCTGTTGTAACTGCTTTAGGTATATTATTTAATAACCTTATGTTCCACAAATTGATTTGATAAATAATATTAAATCCTACTATGTGCCAGGTACCAGGCCAACTTTAATCTTTTTTGATACTTAGTCAGATACAATGCAGTACACAACATTTTATTCTGGGTGATATACAAAGATGATTAAGACATTCCCTTCTTTCAGGGAGCTTACAATGTAGTAGAGAAATACAGACACATAAAATTAGGTCACTTAAAAGTTTTATAGAAGCCATAATGGAAACATGTGCCAGGTAGACCAGGGAATGAAGTAAGGAGTGATAAATTCCAAGTGGAGAGAGAAGCAAGACTTAAAAGGGGAGATAAGACTTAACAGGTGAACTTTCAATAAATTATTTCCTTTCTGTTTCTATGTGACCTTTAAATCATTGTCTTTCTTAGTGTTTCAGTTTTCATATTTTAAAATGAAGTTTGAGTACAGCAACTTTTCAATAACTTTGCCTTTCAAAAGAGCCCGTCTATCCACTTTACCTGTTTTACACACTAGAGTGTCAATTAGACTTTTAAAGAAAAGATTCTGTTACTTTGAAGGTAGAAGGTCTCAGGATAAGTGATCTCTAAAGATTTATACAACTTACAGGTAAATTCTGCAATATTTTGTAACCAAAAATACATGAGGCATCTGCAGACTAGAGAGCTAAATTATCCTTCTAAGAGTTGCTCAGATATTATCTATGTGAAGCCTTTTCAGGCAGAATTAATTCCCCTTTCCATTGCATTTTTGTAGAACTTTGTACATTATCCATTATAGTATACAGCTATCATAATTATATGCCTTTTGAATGTGTAAATAAGCACCAGAGGAAGACCTGTTTAAAGGAACATTATGGTAAAATAATGCCTTGAAAGATTTACCAGTCTGTATTTATTAAGTAATAGCCTGCAGAATTTTACTCTTCTATTTATATAATTTGTGTTCACCTTTTTTGAAATGTTGACTGTATCTCCAGGACACTTGTTATGTTTTTTAGGGAGCTGAATAAATGTCGGGTAAGTGTTAATTCTCTTTTCTTCTGGAAGGATTAAGGAACTCCAGGTTGTGAACTATTACTCCAGTTTTTTTTTGGTTTAGAGTGGAAATTCAGGATTAGTAGTAGACATTCTAAATACTAAATTATTTTAATCATAAAGTGCACTTAATGTTAGGAAGTTTGGATTGACTAAAATAAGTATAAAACACTTTCCATGTTTAATCTGTCTGTAAAATGACCTGTATTTCTGTGGTGGAAGGGAGAAAAACAAATGAACAGGTATGTAAGCTCCTGGAGGGCAAGCCTTTCTATTTTAAAATTTGGTCAGACTGTTACAAGTTAGGAGATGGTTATTTTAATAAATTCTCAACATACTAAATGGAATCATGAATACATGCTGAATAAGGTACTGCCTATTTCTGAGAATTTGTTGTTTACTATTATATGTTGATGAACAGAAAGAGGAGCACAGTTCAAGTGAGCAGAACAACTGCATTGAGAACATTAATATCTGCTGATTTCAGTAATGGGGTGGTTCACTTCTGAGCAGAAACTGTAGGTAAATCTAAGGTATTGACAGCTATATATCAGGAAATAAAAGAACATTTTCTTTTGTATTGGATGGGAAGAATATAGGTTTATCTATTGATCTTTTCAATAAAACCCTTGGAATAATTATGTTTCATTTTCATTTGTGTACATATACACATTAATGATGTTATCATTGAATCTTAGAGTTACAAAGAAATCATTATATATTTGACATTTATATAAATTCTAGGAGCTTGGCAACATTCACCTCCTTTGTCTGAAACCCGAATCCAAGTCTTTTGCATCCCTTTAGTTTTAGAGCAGCAAGCTAGGGATACTTATGAAATTCAAGCTCATTTAACAATATGAATACTTTAAAGGTTGAAATACATTCAGTCTTCTGAATACTAGTATGACTTTAATAAATATCTTTTGACTCATTCCTTAGACTAATTTCTTTAATGAGGGCTGTTGTGTTGTTAAGAGTAGAAAGAATTATATTGTTTCTGTGTTAAAAAAAAAAACTTTTTTTTTTTTTTTTAATAAGGTTACCATTAAAAAGCTCTCTCTCCTTTTGAAGATGATGATGGTGAGTCTTCTTTCTGCCTTCAAGGAACAGTGGTATCTGCAGTGATAGAATCAGGGAGCAGATAATGAAACTGAAATGTGTTGTTAATTCTGATAGTTGTTAGGGAGATACACACACACATATGTTTATAAAGTCATTTTTGTATCTGGTTTCCTGTCTAGTAGTTTTGTGACTTTGAGCAAGCTAACTCATCTCTTCAATGCTTGGACACAGGAGAGGAACCCATAAACAGTTGAAATTGAAAGGAATCATTCAGGAAGCAAAAAGAAATTAAATGGCAATGGCCCTGAAGCCAGTAGAGGGAGAATACTTGAATCAAGGAGTGATAATAGTTATATAATACTAAGAGGTTAAGAATTAAAAACAGTTCTTCTTAGGGGCTGTGGGTCAATGATAGGATGCTTACTTAGCATATATGAGGCACTGGGTTTGATTCTCAGCACAGCATATTATTTATAAAGGCCCATTGACAAATAAAAAATATTAAAAAAAAAAACAGAACCCAATAAATTATTCCTGGTGAAAGCAGCTTCAAAAGAGTGGTATAAAGGCAGAAGCTAGGTTGTAGTGAGATAAGGAATGGATGGAAAACATGAACTTTTAGAGTGTGAAGTAGACATTTTTCAGGTTTGATTTTAAAGTGAAAAGGGATAGTTTTTTCATGGTGGAATAAATATAGTGTGTTTATTGTCTGAGGAACAAAAGCACTGATAGGAGAAGTTGAAGATAAAGAAGATAGTAGATGG